TATACATTCTCCTCAGCACTACATAGCACTTATTCTAAAATAACCACGTTATTGGAAGTAAAACACCCCTCAGCATATTCAAAAGAATGGAAATCATAACAGTCTCTTAGACCACAGTGCAATCAAATTAGAACCCAGGATTAAGAAACTCACACAAAACCTCACAACTACATGGAAACTGAACAACATACTCCTGAATGGCTACTGGGTAAATAATGAAATTAGGACAGAAATAAATAAGTCCTTTGAAACCAAAGAAAACAAAGACATGACATGCCACAATCTCTGGGACACAGCTAAAGCAGTGTTTAGAGGGAAATTTATAGCACTAAATGCCCACAGGAGAAAGCGGGAAAGATTTAAAATTGACACCCTAACATAACAAATAAAAGAACTAGGCCAGGCGCGGTGGCTCACGCCTGTAATCCTAGCACTTTGGGAGGCCGAGGCGGGTGGATCACAAGGTCAGGAGTTCAAGACCAGTCTGGCCAAGATGGTGAAACCCCGTCTCTACTAAAAATACATAAAAATTAGCCAGGCGTGATGGCATGCGCCTGTAATCCCAGCTACTCCAGAGGCTGAGGCAGAGAATTGCTTAAACCTGGAGGGATGGAGGTTGCAGTGAGCTGAGATTCCGCTACTGGACTCCAGCATGGGCAACAGAGCGAGACTCCATCTCAAAAAATAAAAATAATAATAAAAAAACAAATAACTAGAGAAGCAAGAGCAAACAAATTCAGAAGCTAACAGAAGACAAGAAGTAACTAAGATCAGACCAGAGCTGAAGGAGATAGAGACATGAAAAACCCTTCAAAAATCAATGGATCCAGGAGCTGTTTTTTTGGAAAAGATTAACAGAATAAATAGACTGCTAGCCAGGCTAATAGAGAAGAAAAGAGAGAATAATCAAGTAGACACAATAAAAAAAAAAATGATAAATGGGATATCACCACTGATCCCAAATAAATACAAACTACCATCAAAGAATAATATAAATACCTCTATGCAAATAAACTAGAAAATCTAGAAGAAATAAATGAATTCCTGGACACATATACCCTCCCAAGACTAAATCAGAAAGTTAAATCCCTGAATAGACCAATAACAAGTTCTGAAATTGAGGCAGTAATTAATAGCCTACCAACCCCAAAAAAGCTCAGGACCAGACAGATTCACAGCCAAATTCTACCAGAGGTACAAAGAGGAGCTGGTACTATTCCTTTGTTATTTTTCTGACTACATGATGTGCCTAATGTTGAGAGTGGGATCTTCAAGTCCCCATCACTTATTCTATTAGAGTCTATCTCTCCCTTTATATCTAACAATATTTGCTTTGTATATCTAAGTGTTCTAGTGTGATTGCACATATGCTTAGAATTGTTATATCCTCTTGTTGAATTAATCCCTTTATGTTATAGTGATAAAGACAATTTTATAATTGTCTCTCTTTTATTTTGTTTCTATTATCTGTTTTATTTGATAAAAGTATAGTTATTCTCTGCTCGCTTTTGGTTTCCATTAGTGTAGAATATTTTTTATGTTCCTCTGCTTTCAATCTGTCTCTTTATAGGTGAGATGAGTTTCTTGTAGGTAGCATATGGGTGAATCTTGTGTTGTTTTCTCCATTCAGTCAGTCTACAGTTTGTAACTGGAAAGTTTATTTCATTTACATTCAAGTTATTGCTGATATGTGAAAGCTTATTCCTGTCATTTTATGAACTGATTTCTGTTTGTTTTGTGTATTATTTTTTTGCCTTCTTTCTCTCTTATTGTTTATCTCTGTGGTTTGGTAGTTTTCTTCAGTTTAACATTTGAGCCCTTTCTCATCACCAATTCAAAAAATTGTGTATTTATCCTGTGAGTGAATTTTGTACTTTTTTGTGTTTTCATGATATTAGATATCATCCTTTTGCTTCCATGTGTAGAATTCTCTTAAGCCTTTCTTGTAGGGCCAGTTAGGTGGTGATGAATGGCCTCAGCTTTTGCTTGTCTGGAAAAGACTTTATATCTTCTTCATTTATGAAGGATAACTGTGCTGGATGTAGTATATATGATTTTTTTTCTTTTAATGTATCATCCCAATCTCCCCTGGTTTAGAAATTTCCTGCTGAGAAATCTGCTGTTAACCTGATAGGGTTCCGTTATAAGTGATTAGATATATTTCTCTTGCTGTTTTTAGAATTCTCCCTTTGTCTTTGACTTTTGACAGTTTGACTACAATATGCTGTGGAGGAAACCTGTTTGAATTGTATCTATTTGCGAGTTTCTTAGCTTCCTGTATGTGAATGTATAAACATCTTGCTAAATTGGGAAGATTTTAGCTATTATGTTGTCAAAAATATTGTCTATCAATTTGGTTTTAGATTTCTTGGACCCCTAAATTCAAATATTTGGGTTCTTTATGGCATCCCATATGTCATATACATTTTGTTCATTTTCTTATTTTAAATTTTGTTTGACTGGACTAAACAAATGCGAAGCCATAGGGCTAGAGTCGAGCTGGGCCTGGCAAGCCTGTCATCAGGGGCTCCAGTGGTACATGGCAGAGCTGACTATGACAGGCAGGGGCAGAATGATCCCTAGGCCCTCAGCAAAATGCTCAGGCAGGGTTTCTGTAGCTGCACTGCAGCTCTGACAGAGGTTTTGTTTTCAGTGGCAGCAGCCATAGGTGGGTGCTCAGGGAACAGGCATTTCAACCACAGTTGATAGTTATAAGCATGGTAACCTGTGCTCGGGGAATTTATAAATGCATGGTTGCTCTGCTGCTGGGGGGAAGCAGGGTCAATGCCATTGGTTTATGCCTTGGTCCTAGCAGCAGCAGAAATGTGAAGCTCCTGGGATGTGGAAATGCAGGGTCTATTGGGCTCCAAGGCAGGAAGCAGCATGGTGTGGGCTGGGCTCCCAGAATGGCACATTTGTGTGGCTGCTTAGAAATTGGGGATTGTGTGAGACCCAGTGTGACCTCTTTCTCTGGAGCAATGTCATTGCACATTCTCCAGGCAGCTCCCTATGTTAGTCTCAGGGCCCACAGGGTTGAAGGGCTTTCTCGTGGCTAAGATTGCAGGTGTCTGCAGTGGGAATGTAGATCTTTGTGGATCACTCATTTTCCTTTCCCTATGTTGGGAAGTCTCTCTGGGCTCCCAGCTAATTCCGAAAGAATAGACTATTTCACTTCCCTCACCTTTCTTGTTTTAGGCATTTCCTGACAATTCTCTGTTGAAGTCCATGGTTCTCTCTTAGATGATCTATTTGAAGTGTGATTCCTCAATGTTTTGGTTCTTCTTTTTGTAAGAGGTAAGTACCCAGTGCCTCTAGTCAGGCATTTCACATCCCCTCATTTTCAGTGTATTTTAGACTTGAGGAAGATAATTCTTATTTTAGAAATAGTGGGAGCTGGCCCAGAGCGGTGGCTCAAGCCTGTGATCCCAGCACTTTGGGAGGCCGAGGCGGGCGGATCACGAGGTCAGGAGGTCAAGACCAGCCTGGCCAACATAGTGAAACCCCATCTCTACAAAAAAATATAAAAAATTAGGCAGATGGGTGGTGGGCACCTGTAATCCCAGCTACTCGGGAGGCCAAGGCAGGAGAACCACTTGAACTCAGGAGGCAGACGTTGCAGTGAGACAAGATTGTACCATTGCATTCCAGCCTGGGTGACCGGGCAGCACTGCGAGACTCCATCTAAAAAAAAAAAAAAAAAAGTGGGAGCTATATTTTTCATGTTTGTAAAGAGAGTTGAAAACAGAAACAGCAAAGACTAGAATGTGTCCTCTCGTGTTGAGTTGGAATTGGAGGTATCAATGTGACATTTATGATACATGGAAATAAGTATGAGAACTATAGACACTGAGGACTACTAGAGTGCAGAGGGAGGAGCTGGGTTAAGAAAACTACCTATCTGGTACCATGCTCACTACCAGAGTGACGGGATCCCTACCCCAAACGCTGGCATCAGACAATATTCCCATAAACAAATCTGCGCATGTAATTCCTATATCTAAAATAACATTAAAAAAAAAAAAACACAGATGCTAATACTAGTGGGGAAAAGTTTGATGATGAACAGGATATATATAGAGTGCCAAAGTATCTTCCAAGAAAATACTTAATATTAAATAAAAGTGAGTTTACAATGGTGAAACCTGGAGGATACTTAGATCATCTGAATGATCTAAGCCAACATCATTAATATTGAGAGAAACCTATATCAGACACCTCTGAGAACATTCACTGAGAGACACAGTCTCCCTTCAGTAGTATTATTGCCCAAAATACTTGACCTCATTCTAATTGGGAAGAAACAGTAGAATAACTGAAAATGTTTTACAAATAATTGGCCTGTTATCTTAAAAAAAAAAAAAAAGGTCATTTTCAGGAAATACAAAGACAGACTGACAGGTTGTTTCAGATTTAAGGAGACTAGTTATAATAATCTAATAAAACTGTGATTTTAGTTTGGATAGAAAGCTCAAAAATTGATGACATTTCCATATGAACTCTGGATTAGAAAATAGTATCATAACTTTGTTAAATTTTCTGATTTTGATAACTGTATCTTGGTTAGGAAAAAGAATGTCCTTTTTAGGAATATTCATTTAAATTTTTAAAGGGAAAGACATATGTCTACCTTCTCTTACAAAGTTCAGAAAAAATATAACATATATATACGTGTGTGTGTGTGTGTGTGTGCATGTGTATTCATAAAATACTAAAGCAAGTGAGGAAAAATGTAAACAATTCATGACTCTGGGTAAAGGGAAAATAGGATTTATTGTACTATGCTTGCAAAATTCCCTGTGGTTTGAAATTCTGTCAAAACTAAAAGTTATAAATTAAAAATTATAGATTTTTAAAAGTAAGACTCCATTTTTAAATACTGGCTCAAAATTTGCCCTCGAAAAAGAAAATATTTTAAACACAACACAGGCTTATTTTTTAAAGATCTTACAATGATGATAAAGATTTTTCTTCAGATCATAGTTACCATAAAAAGGGTACCTGTTTCTCTCTTCCTTAGAATCTGCTCAAAATTGGTGAAAACTGAAAAAAAAAACACACACACAATTCAGTACCTGCTTATGTGGTTTACTGTTAATTCAGAATTCTTCACAGATATTTTAAAAGGATCTAGTTCATCGCCAGTAGGAATTATTATTAACAAGGGGCTTTCATAAGAAAATAATCTAAAATGTCAATTTAAAATCAGTTTATTCCAACTCAAATCATGCTAATATTTAACATTGTTTTAACTTTAGGCTTTAGATATGCTTTTTTAAAGAAAGACTACATGTTTTTATCTGATTTTAAGCATGCAATATTTGCAAATGTAAAACATATATTTGTGGAGACAGTTGGTAATTTTAAACTTAACGAAAAAATGGTTAACTATTTAAAAATAAAATAATGATAAGAAAATTATAGGTGTGTAGTAATTACCGGTTCTTCAAAGACAGCCTGTTATTTTAGCATACAATGTGCTAAGAACATTATCTCTGAAGCCAGATTGCCAGAGCAAACTTTGGTCTTGACACTTGCAACTTGTGTGATATCTGGCAACTTAGTTATCCCATCACAGCTTTGGTTTCCTCCTCTGAAAGGTATACACAATAGTGTTGCCTACTTCCTAGGACTGTTGTGATGAACACATACATAAATATATGTGTGATTGTATATCAAGCATAAAAATTGTCTATTCTACCATAAGTTATTAGTAAGTGCTAGATATTCTTATTGTCAAAATTAAAGGAAACGAATTAACTATCTTCCAAATTAGTATAAAAACAATGGCATGTTTCACTAAAAATATTGTCTTCAATTCAGAATAATTGAAAAACAAGGTATTTTACTAAAATTATACAAAATATATGAATAATTGTCACCTGAATTTATTTCTACTGCATATTTTTCATTTTATTTTACATAATTGCCATCTATGCTTATTTCTGATTTAAACTTTTCACTATACTTCATATGTCTTTTATCTCTCTTGTCCTTCATGCAGTTATTGCTTTATTCTGTTAAATAGTTTCCACTTTCATGTCCTTTATTTATAATTCTTCATAATTTCGTTTATTTTCTCCATTGAACATTTTTTCCCATTTCCTTTCCTTTTTCCTTGTCTTGGCTAGCTTGTCACTTGTCACTACCATCACTTGCCTACCTTGTCACTACCTAATGTATTTTCCTTGTCACTTGCCTACCTTCTGCCAGAGTTCTGCCTTCCGTGTTAAGAATGTTCCTCTGAAATGAGAGTCCTTTGGAGAAAGATGCTAAGGTACTAATTCCAGAGGCTTCATTTCTTATATTTTATGCTATAGTCCCAACCATCTCCTCCCAATGAAAGTATCAGAAAAGAACATAGGGTTCAAAACCTGAGTTTTCACATGGCTTGTTGCAGATCAGCATCATGGCAGCTGGATGGAGAGAATCTCTGAGAAGATGGTCCTTCCAGTTTGCCACTCAAGAGCTGCCATGCAGTCAGCTCACTTCTCCATCTACATAACCTGCTGTTTCTCACCAAGGGAGTTATTCTTTGTGAGTCATATGTATTCAAACACGTCTCACAGAAAATATAGATTTGTGGAAACACATGCCTATTTGCAACTGGTACAAATAGAGAGAATATTGACAGTAATGCTGAAAATCCTAAAAACATTTTTCTTTTCAGAATGACTGGTTGAAGATTTTCCTCAAAAACTCAGCAGAAAAATAAATATCATACTCCAGGCATGATTTTTAAAAAGCATGAAAATGTTAAAAGGAAAAAAAAATCAAATTTGCAAACCTCTCTGCATGTATATTCATATCAACTCACAATAAATCATATACTAATTATTTCCAATATTAGTCAAAAGTAAACCACAAACTCATGTGTTCTACTTTCATTATATTATATATATTTTAAATTAATATAAGATGAATTGCATGCATTTTAAAATATTAGTACATATGACTTTAAACATCTTGAAAATATTCCATAAAGAAAAAGCTACTTAGAAGATTTCTAAATGATATATTTACCTATAAATGATCTGTTTGTTATTACTCTTTAATAATGATTAAAATGATTTTATTATTAAAAATGCATACATTAGAAATTATTATGAGATAATCTCCTAACATCTCTTGGAAGCCTATGCAATACTGCTCTGGCTTCCATTCCATGGTAATCAATTTCTAAATAAAATTATCTTTTTTATCATTTTTACTTTCTATTTTCTCTTTTTTAGGTATAATTGACCAATAATAACATGTGAACAATGTGATGCTTTGATATATGTCTAAACTGTGGAATGACTATCAAATTAAAGTTAATTAACATATCTATTACCTCATATAGTTACCATTTACTTTGGTTTGGTGAGAACATTTAAGATTCACTCTCTTAAAAATTTGAAGTATACAATACAATATTATTAACTATGCTGTACACATAGATCTCCAGAACATATCTGTCCTCCATAACTGAAACTTTGTACTCTTTTATACAATTGTTTTTTAGCTCATTAAGTTTTGCTAAACAGTGATCTTACATGTTAGAAATGCCAAAATTCACTTAAAAAATAGGAAAAGTGATGATTCCATCTCTCAAAACTTCCATTTGCTATTTGATATTGCTTTTTGTCTATATACCATAAAACAGTGTTTTTATAAAATGAATCCTGCTGAAAAATATAATTTTGCTTATTTTTTCATAAGGATCTGGACTCAAGAGGAAAACCTATCCCATTTTCTTTTTATCCATATCTAGCTTTTCCTTGTTGTTGTTCTTTTTGGTTGGAAAAACATGAAAGTGGTAAGACAGGCTTTTGTTATGACAGATGTTTTTAAAGTTTGGGTTGTAAATAAATAAAATTAAATAACATTAATTAAGGACACTGCATTTAAAAGAAGGAAATCTACAAATATTTGTTCATCAAGCAAATTCTACAGATAAGAATTTTAAATTTAAATCTAAAAATACTGCATGTAATTTAAGTCAGTTATTACCTCATTTATCCTTTTCATGTTACCTTAATACCTCTATATTCAATTAGTTTTCTTCATTTGTACCTAATGTGCTGAATATCTGCCTCTTTTCCTTTTGTACTTAAAAAATTTTTAATTCTTTCATAGAACTAGCTCTCAGAATTTGTGCTTTCCGTAGTAAAAACAAGATACCTATTTTACTTGAAGTTTCTCTATTGCAGAATAATAACCTTAATTTGTAAATCTTCATCAGTCTAACTGGGCATTCATTTTCTGAAATAGTGAAGGTATTTTAACTTTAGTTTCAGTAGGCTTATTCACACCGCTATAATATAATTCTTCCATTTTGGGCATAGAAGAGTAACTAGTCTCACAGTACTAGTTAGTAGTTACTCGTGGAAGAGTAACTAGAAACTCACCGTAACTAGCCTCCTAAGTGTTTGGTGTGCAGAAGATAGCTATGGGGAATTGTTATGAAATTCTATTCCAGAACCTGTGTTAACTCTTCATGTAAACCTGATGAATTCCACAATTTTTTAAAATTATTTTAAGAAAATCATATATATTTATGAGCTTTTAGAGATGAGTTTATGAAAAACTTCTAACAACCTGATATATTTCAAAAGATTTGAAAGGTGTTACAAATACAACAGAAAAAACAGGAACATTGATTTATAATAAAAACTGAAACTATGTATAACTGATATTTTGGTACTGTGATTTTTATGAAATTTATTTCGTCTGAAACTTTTTTTTTCAAATTTCTTTCAGCTTTCTAAATTAACTGTAATCATTAGAATTGTAATCACCTTTTATTTAACCAGGATATGGGCTGATGGTTAGAGATGAAAATCACAAATATTTTCAAATCATATGAGAACAAAACTAGTAGGAATGGTATAAAATACAGACTTTATTAAAAACATAGACAATCCAGGTGACGAAATGTAGCAAAAACGTTATTTGTTTTGTTTTTTAGTTCTTTCATCATTATTTATCTGTTACTCTCCTTTCTGGAAAATGGACCAAAAATATCCTCAGGAGCTTAATGTCACCCAGTTTCATTATAAACAAGATTCGTAATAATAGCAATTTGCCATGAGTCCCATTTTTTTGTTTGAATATATGAAACTCTTTAGAAGATGAATCACATTACCCATCCATTCAAAGGGAAAAAAACGTTTTTTCAGCCATTTTTCCTCCAGCCACTGGATATTCCTGTGCTATCTGTGAATTGAACCACAGAAACAGTCTTATCAATGATCTTAATGATGCTTTGGAACTTAAAGAGTATACAAAATAAATTTGACTGTTACATTTTCTTTATCATAAGAGAAATATTTATTTATTTATTTTATATCTAAAGCAATGAACATTTCTTTAATCATTCAATTTCAAGGCTCTCATTTTATGTTAAATTCAGTATATCTTTGTTAGCATATATTCATTTACCAACATGTAAAATAATCTTGGAAGATTTGGGTCATGCAATCAGTAAGCAGAATTTGGCCTCGACTGTTGATTATGACAGTCTACAATAGTCATCATTCAACATATGGATGTTTTTTGGTGATTACATATACTGCAACCTAATTAGTCAAAAAGACACATTGTTTTAAAAAATAATCCAACAAAACTAACCAGTCCATGCTTAAATTGACTTTTATGGAAAATAAATCAGAAAGTACAAAAAAACTAAATAAGAAAGGAAGAGTACATCCTCTATTTCCCTATTTCAGCATGGCTTGGACAATTATAGGAAGATAAAATGACATCTTTATTGCTAACAAGATACTTAGAACTTTCATTATCTAACATATTTACTAAGCTGTTTTAAGAAAATATGAGGCCAGGTGCCATGGCTCATGACTGTAATCCCAGCACTTTGGGAGTCTGAGGCAGGAGGATCACTTGAACCCAGGAGTTTGATGCTAGCCTGTGCAACATAGTGAGACACCATTTCAACAACAACAACAATATTAAAAATAACCAAGTGTAATGGTGCATACCTTTGGTCCCAGCCGCTCAGGAGATTGAGGCAGGAGGATTGCCTAAGCCCAGGATTTGGATACCGCATTGAGTCGTAATGGCACCACTGCACCCCAGCCTGGGCAAAAGAGCAAGACCCTGTCTCAAAAAAAAAAAAGTCAAAAAATAATTGAAGGTTTGGGACAGGACAATATTGTAGAAGAAAGATAGGCATTTATTTGATAAAAGAGATGTGTTCTTCAGTTCCAACAAAGGGATCTTCAGAAAGAAGGAAAAATAATTAAATTATAAGACTATAACTGACACCATTCTCTCTCAGAAGTTGTAAAAAAGTAATTCCTGTCTGTACCCATAGGAGCAGGGAGCAAACCAGAAATTGAGATTTCATGTTAGGGGAGTATAAATTCAGTTATTATACTATTGTTGTTGTTTTTATCGTCACCCTTATTTTAATTTTAAGCAGCTGTGGGGTTGATAGAAATCAATATTTGAATTTCTGAGTTATCTTTAGGTGAATCCAATTTAACCTCATCAGCATGTATCCACCTGTGATTGTGTTTCAACATTTTTCCCCAGTTTATTTCTTTCATAGACAAATGAATTAATATATTTTGTGGAATCAAAATATGTCTTATCTCCCGCATGTAGATTAAAGAGAAGCCAATTTATTGGTTAAAACTGAAGTCCAAGATTTTAGTAAACTGCACATAAGGCTGTGGTGGCCTCCTTGAAGGATTTACTTTGCTCTTACATTTTTGTGGGACTCCCATTCCCGGAGGCTATCTCTAAAGACTTGAAGGTTAAGATTGCATGTCTCTGCATTGACTGGGCTCCTGGAGGCTCCCGATTGTTTCTGCCCTTGTTTGGCTCTGCTTTAATCCATGCTTGTTCTGTCTCCCATGTGCCCCAATTTGCACTTTTGCACTGCCATATTATGCAGCCATTCTGCTGCTTGAAGCAAAATAAGCCAAAACAGAAAGTTTTATACAGAATTATACTTTTTGGAATTTTTCTATTATACTTCTATATCCCAAATTTTATAATCAAAAAATGTTTAAATATATGTTAATTGGGAAGTTCATTAGTACTCTTTATGAGAGACTTGGACATTTGGGGCATATTTAACTTTTAAATACTAAAATAGCAATTGTTTTAAAACTGTATTCTGATCTTATAAAATCAAAAGAAGAAGAATACTTCACAAATATTACAGAATTCACCAATTTTGTAAACAAGTACATAATATCTTTAAGCTTGTGAATTGTTTAAATTTTTAAGGAATATTTACTAATGGCCATGCCTTCATGAAGACTAATTCAAGTGATAATATAAATAAATGAAAATATAGAAGAAGTATAGCTCAAGGTAAAATTTATAGCCTCAAAATAAAAAACCTGAAAGTATATTTTTAGATAATTTGAGTTTTAGTAATTTAGAGATTTAGAACTCAAACCACAAAGGTACCTAAGTAAAGATAATTTCAGAACTCTCTATAGACTATTAAAATGGAACTCCTTTAGAAAGTTTAAATCCATCATTTAGTTTCAAGGCTATGCATAATTTTTAAATAGAGTCATGTTTAACTAGAAAATGATTTCTGAGCTCTAGCTATTGGTCCCTGGTCTCATTTAGGAGAGCTGAAATTAGAATCATAGAAGACACAGATTTTATTCTGTAGATGAGGCAGACTCACCTGAGATTTAAACAGTAGTGACCATGCATATCTCTAGGATAACTGTTTCATTCCCTATAGCAATCCAGTACCTGGGCAACTGCTTTGGAAGATTGTTCAAAGATAAAAGGTACAAAGAAATTCCATGTTTAAATGAAGTAATAGTAACAATTTCTACCTCCTAAATGTTTCGCCAGCACATTTTCTCTTTCAGTTCCCAAATCCTTTAATTCTACCCCTTATTGTTTCTATCATCAATTGATTCCCAAGTGTGTGTGTGTATCTCCTATATTAAAACCATCCTACTTTATTTTCTTTGTTTCTGTCAATAGAATGTGGATTTATGTCTATCTATTTACATCTATCTAGTAATATAAGTAGGTATCTATATATCTCCATTTTTCTTTCATCTGTCTCCTCTTTATCTATTTCTACAGTACAGGGGCCCCGAAACCCTGCACCTGTCCTGGTTAGGAACCAGGCCACACAGCATGAAGTGAGTAGATGGCAAGTAAGCAAGCTTCATTTGTATTTACAACTGCTCCCCATCACTTGCATTATCACTTGAGCTCTGGCTCCTGTCAGATCAGCGGTGGCATTAGATTCTCATAGGAGCACAAACCCTGTTGGGAGATAAGTTGCATATTCCTTATGAGAATCTAATGCCTGATGATCTGTCACTGTCTCCCATCACCCCCAGATGGAACCATTTAGTTGAAGAAACTCAAGCTCAGGGCTCCCACTGATTCTATATTATGGTGAGTTGTATATGTATTTCAGTATCTGTTACAATGTAATAATAATAGAGATAAATTTGACAATAAATGTCATGTGCTTGAATCATCCTCAAACCATCCCCTGTTCCCCCACCAGACCATGGAAAAATCGTCTTCAATGAAACTGGTCCCTGGGGACTACTACTACAGTATATCTACACAGATAGATAGATAGATAGATAGATAGATAGATAGATAGATAGATAGAATATCTATTGCTCATTATGTGCCCAGTATATCATCTATTTTCCCTCACCTCATAACACTCAATGAGAGCAAAAATACATATACATTCTTTACTATTACATAAAACATTCACACACAAGTAACTCATACTGGATAAATTGATGATTGCTGAATTCTGCCTGATCGTAGAGATAGAAGAATGGCTATATCCATTGATACACTCCTAAAGGGTGTGAATTAGTACTTTACCCCTGAAAATCATTTAGTCCATATGTATAAAGTGGATTAGAAATGTGTGTTCATTTTGGCCCTAATTACTATTTGAGAGTCTATACGAACAACACCAACTACTACCACTGCTTCACACAGAAGATGAAGCTGTTGGAAATCCTTCATTTTTCTTTAAACTTATGAACTTAACTCGTGTGCAGCCATATTTTTTTCTCTTTTCTGGTATGATAATAAAGACATCTCCACTCATTTCTAAGGTTAATCATTTAACTGGTATAAAATTGTCTTCTGAAAAATACATAATGAAGTCATTTCATTGTTCCATGGTTTTACTGATTTTTCCATGCTCTCTTCAAACTCTCACTCATTTAAGTTCATCTGTCTTTAAATAAATAAATAAATAAATAAATAAATAAATAAATAAATAAATAAAAACAGGAATAACAACAAAAAACCCTCTTCCAAGATTCACAACAATCAATGATTATCTTTTCCTCTATCTTTTAAAATCATTTTTTGGAAAAAGTTCCATAAAATACTTGTCTTTGTTTCCCTCATCAGTTACTCTCTCCTCATTCTATTTTCTAGAAAATCTATGATTCCCTCAGTTTTTTTGTATGCACGATCATTAATGTCCTGATTGTTACCAAACAATACCAGCAATAATAGAAATAGCTAATCCTTATAGCTCTTAGGCTGTATGACACATATTTTCTGTGCATATTCTTGTTTAATCTCTATAATAATCCTACAGTATAGGTATGACTGTTGATCCTCCACATTGGACAGCTGATAAAACTGTGTGTCAGGGAGTTTAAATGTTTTTTTCAAAGTCATAGAACAAGCGAGTGACCAAAATGAGACTTAAACTCAGGCTACATCTGACACCATTGCTCATGATCTTCACAATTCTTTTGTACTGTTTCAAAAATCCTTTAAATATTTGACAATATCTATATTTTTAGAGGTTTTCATGTGTTGTGTTTTAATTTAAATGTTATAGGTGTTTTACTGGTCAGAGAGGGCTTAGTAGCCACAAAACTGTTAATTACAATATCAGCTTTTCTGTTTTATGCTAATTATTTACTTTTTTTTTTTTTTTTTTTTTAATCAGCTGAGTGTTTGGGAAAGTACCTAAATGCAGATGTTATTTACTTAGGAAAAAATTCCATAAAATAATTGTCTTTATTTCCCTCATCAGCTACTCTCTCATCAATCTATTTTCTAGAAAACCTATGATTCCCTTAGTCTATTATATACAAAATCAGTCTTAGTATAAAGTCCATATCAAAATTGATAACATAAATAGTAGAATAGCTTCTAAGATAATTTTTGTGTCTTACATTATCTTTTGAGTATCATTTGTTCTTCACCTATCTGGAAAGTACAACATATTTAGGCATTTTTCTTCATAAAACTCTAAAAGAGAGCAAGCAAGGAAACTGGTTATTAGAAGCAAAGACAAACATTCGAGGATTAAAATGATAGAAAGCACTAGGAATTACCCATTCTAACTCCATTCCCTCCTGCCCAGCCACATGGTAGAAAACTTACGGCTCTATGCATCTTTTTCCTCTCGACAAATGCCTTGTTAGTTTTATTTTAGCTAATGCCTTGTTAGCTTTATTTTAGTTAAGATAAAGCTAAGTGGCCTAGCCAATAATCTTAAAAGTCATAAATATTGTATTATCTAATTTGAGAGAGAGAGAGCGCGCAAGGACAAGAGAGAGAGGAAAACAAGTTATCATCTTCTAGGATGTATATAGTAGGTCTCCATTTATGAGACATTTAAAGCACAACCTCCCCAATCCTTGTCTTGGGTCTAGTCCTTCAGAATGGAGAGAAAGTAAAAGATCCAACTTTCATTATCTAAAAATGTAGACAGTCCAAGGGTTAAAGGTTTAGCTGCTGTACAGGGTGCCAAATTTAATAAATCTATATATCTTTCTGACTGGATTGTTGTAGACGCATATTTTTTCTCCCCAACTCATTTTGCTTGCTGATTCAAATTCCTTCTTTGTGGAAAACCACAGTTGTAAGGCAAGGCAGTTTCAGAGGCAGGACATTGCTTTCAATATGAAGCCAAATATTTCCACACTAAGAATTGCATGAAGATGTTAGATTAGCAAAAATCTGAGGACTATGTGTGGCTATATATATACATATATACACACATATATGTATATATACACATATATACAAAAGATGTTAGATTAGCAAAATTGAGGACTATGTGCAATACATATATATACATATATATATTAACACACATA